TTTTGAAACAAAATGGCTCACTAAACTGTTTGCACTTCTGTGTTATGAAGAAGCAGTCAGTCCATGCAATTTTGGATGCGATTTTCACTATGGGTCATCCGAAAACAGTCTCTCTGTGCTTTAGTACAGGGGTAAGACTGCGTACATCCGACCCCCCTTACCCCACCGTAGGTGGGAGCCTTTGCGGCACTGAGGTAAATGAAAATGAAATTTTGAAAATTTTCCCATCTTACAAAAACTCGAATAAATAGAAATAAATAAAACCTAAATAGATATTTTCAAGTTTTTATATTCACTCAACTTCTAACGTTGCTTTCAAGTATCAGCAGTATGACAACATTAAGATTGTAGTATCACATCTTATTGTACTCCTAATTAGAAAAAGTTTCTCATGTTAGCTATAATCCTAGGAAATCAAGCCTACAAAGATACGCCTCTATTTAGGCTTGGACTCGGGTCGGGCCACCCGGCCCGTGGACCGGACCGGCCCGCTACTGTGCGGGACCGGGACCGGCCCGGTTCTCGGGTCCGGGTCCGGGTCGGGCCTAGGCCCGGGGGGTAGGGCGGGTCCGGGCTCGGGTCTCAATTTTGGTGAACCGGCCCGGCCGGGTCGGCCCCGGGCCCGGGCCAAATTGATTTTTTTTTATTTTTTTTTCATTTTTGGGGTTCCACCCGGGTTGGGCTTGATGGGTAGGATGGGTTTGGGGGTGTTTGGGAGGGTGGGGGTGAGGGGGGGGGGGGGGGGGGTAGGAAAGAAAAATAAAAAATTCCAAACCGGAGGCCCGGCCCGGCCCGGACCGGACCCGGTGGGTACCCGGGCCGGTCCCGGGTCCACCATTCTTGAACCGCCGGCCCGCCCGGGCCTAGGCCCGACCCGGACCCGGCCCGGACCCGAGTCCAACCCTACCTCTATTACTCCGCAATTGACAATTTGATATACATCTCCGAGTCTTTAACTGTTTGGTAATACAAAATCGGTTCATTTTGTTGAAATTTATTCTGTTCAGACTGAAGAGACTGCATTGGCTGATTCTGTTAGTTTAAGAAAACATTATTTTTAAAATATATTTTATTAATAAAATAAAGAAAAAATTATATGTAAAAATAGCTAAAATATTCATCTACAGTAACTTCAGCCAATACAGCCAGAAAAGTAACTTCAACCTTACTTTTTCTTATTATTACATAATTCAACCCGCGAAAACAAAAACTACGTGTTTGATGAAAAAGTTGGCTGATAAACCCGATATATATATATATATATATATATATATATATATATATATATATATATATATATATATATTAATAAAAGATGACTTAGAGGTCGTTTTTTATTAAACCAAAAATATTTTTGCCACATAAGCCGAAAAGCTGGAAAACAGTGTTACCAAACGACCTCTCTAAGTCACATTTTTGTCTACAACTCTTTTATTAATAATATTTTAGAAAATATCTCATCTTTTTTCATAAGAGGTTAATAACTTAATATATATCAATTGTTTTCAGGCTTATCAGCCAACATTTTCACCAAACACGTAACTTTTGTTTTTGCGCGCTGAATTGTTTAATAATAAGAAAAAGTAAGGTTGAATTTACTTTTCTGGTTGTATTGGCTGGAGTTACTGTAGATGACCATTTTAGCTATTTTACATATAACTTTTTCTTTATTTTATTAATAAATTGTATTTTAAAAATAATTGTTTCTTAATTCGACAGAATCAGCTAATGCAGCCACTTCAGCCAGAATTTCATAAATTTCAGCAAAATAAGCCAAATCAGCCGATTTTTGTGATACCAAACGGGCTCTTAGTAACTTTCTAATCATATGGTTCTAAAACATCATCCACTTAATAATATCTTCCTATAATCTCCCTCTTAGAGTCTGTCTGATAACACCGTAATTGGAAAAATCAGCTGATTTTATTGAAATTTATGAAGTTTTAGTTAACGTGAATGGATTGGCTAATTCCGTTGATTTATAAAAAAATAAATTAAAAATATATTTCATTACAACAACAACAACAACCAAGCCTTAGTCCCAAAAGATATTGGGGTCGGCTAACATGAATCGATACATGATATCACAACCAAAAGGAAAAGAAAGAAAATAAAGATAAAAAGATAAGCTATTATAAAAAGATAATATAAAAATAGATGAATATACATAAAAATGACAAAATAAAAAGGCTACAAATAATGCTTATATATATAAGGATAAAAAACAAGGGGAAAAAAGATGAGGAAAAAAGATTATACGAGATCACTCCTTCACGCGAATACCCACCCTCCACTTAAAAGAAGCATATCACTTCGAACTCCCCTAACCCACGTTTGTTTGGGTCTTCCTCTCCCTCTCTTCCCTGTCTCTTCTCCACACATCTCAACTCGTCTGACAGGTGCATCACTCGGTCTTGTACTCACATGACCAAACCACCGTAGGCGCGACTTCCGCATCTTGTCTTCAATAGGTGCTACTCCCACACTTTGTCTGATTGTCTCATTCCTCACGCGGTCCTTCCAAGTATGCCCATACATCCAACGCAGCATGGACATCTCTGTCACACTCATCTTTTGAATGAGTGTATAAAAAAATTAATTTTCATTAACTTTTGAAATATATAAAAATATATTTCATTAATAAAATAAAAAAATTATATGAAAATAGCTAAAATGATTTTCCACAGTAACTTTAACCCATTAAGTCAAAAAATAACTTTAACCTTATTTATTTTTGTTATTACATATTTTAGCAGACGAAATCAATATGTACGTGTTTGATTAAAAAGTTGGTTGATAAAGCTGATAAGTCGAGAAAAAGGGTCACCAAACAAACTCTTAATCATGCAATTTCTTTTCCTTTCTATCTCTTCTTCCTTTCATACCAAACAATACATAAATATAAAGCTCATTGGTAACCTCTATATTCGGCTTATCAACCTTTTCTGTCAATTTTATACCAAACACGTAATAAAAAAGATAAGATATGAATTACTTTTCGAGCTGAATTGGCTGGGATCACTGAAGATGACTATTTTAGCTAAATTTTTATACAATTTTAGAGTTCTTTTCGAAAATATTACTAAAATAAAACTTATTTACATTGATATGATTAAAGCTAGTATAAGTAATGTCAGAATCACTTTTTTTAACAGAATTCACATCAACTTAAATGTAAAACTTGAATACATTTTAAATTTCACTTAAGATGTTACATTTTTCTGAATACTTCTGTATCTTAGTCATAAATTCGGAATCATTTCATAATTTTATCTTTGTTTCATTAATAAAATACATTTTAAATTTAATATTTTCACAATTCAACGTATTTAGCCAATTCAATTTGAATTTCATCAATTTCAATAGATTCGATTAATTCCGCTAATTTCAATATTAATTACCAAACGTTTTTTTGGTATCACTTCACTTCAGTCAATTTAGCTAATTTCACTATTCTTTTCTAACTCAGTTTTATTATATAAAACAATAAATACTTACTGATAGAGTATATAGACTCGGATCCCTGAGTCTCACGACTATTCGACCCGGACAGCGGCCCACGTACACTCAGCTGATAGCATTTTCATTATTGTACATTATTATTATTATTATTTAGGTGTTCTAGATTAGCCTTTTATATTATCAGTCCATTTATGTAACCGGGTCTGTCAGACCCATATTAGAGGCCCAGACCCGGATATTCTTCTATATATACTCCCTTAGGGAGTTCTTGTAAACCTAATTTTTCACAACTCATTCATACATTACTATTCATTCATCTTCTCCACATTCTTGAGCTCAAATCTCTACATTTATTATATAGTTTGGATCCCTATAATCCATCACTTACATTATCTTTTCAAGATATAATTGCCATTTTCATAAGTTTTTTAATGTTTAGATAATAATTATTTTGAACATTGTATTTTGTTTCTACTTAATGTTTTATATGAAACACATCTAAGGGTATGTTTGGGAGTTTGAGGTAAGGAATTACAACAGACTAACTTTCATTTTGAGTTCAGCTAAAACTATCATTTAAATGGTTATCCTTCAAAATCTCTCAATTTGAGAGAAGTTCAAAATTGATCATTTGAAGTATTTTAGAGAGTTATAAGAACCTAAAAACCTATCCCTTTTCAATTTTTTAACTTCATGCATGGTTACTGTGAAATATTGAAACATGATGCTCTCTAAGGAACCCTGACGGATATATTTATAGTAAAAGAGTTTAATGTAAAGTACATAAATATCCCTATTATTAATTCTATTACACCCCCCGATTTGTGCGTGAGAAACAACGCACAGGTTGTCTGTCCTTCAGAAAATGAAAACACTTAGTAGGAAGGCTTTTAGTAAAAATATTTGTCAATTGTAGATGAGTAGGAACATGTTGAACAATCAGATCTCCATGAGCAACACGTTCGCGAACAAAATGGTAATCAATTTGGATGTGTTTACTCCGGGCATGGTGAATAAGATTTACAATCAAATATGAAGCCGAAATATTATCACACAATTAATGCACAAGTTCCGTGATGGGGTAGCCGAGCTCAAACAAAACAGACCATACCAGATCAGACCAAATCAGACCAGCCAATTTCAGTACAAGTAAAAACATCCTCACAATTACTAACTTACAGCTTTTCTAATCAATACTCTCGCTTTATCCAAATATGCCCAATCAGATTTGACGAGACTTAGAGAATTACTCAGTATAAAACTATGATCTACTCCATCAAAATATCTATCGAACCAAATCAGATCAGACCAGACAACACTTAAACAAATTAGATTTGAATGGAAAATTTCAACCTAACTAACAACATCACAAATATGTTTTTCCCTCAAATATGACTTACTTAAGTCTATGAAAACAATAAAACAAAAAAACTTCATACAAACAAGTGACTACTTACGGAGTATTTGAGAAGAAAATGGTTTAGAACTCTTTTGGTAATACCAAAATCGACTGAATCGGCTGATTCTGCTGAAATTTATGAAATTCTAGTGGAAGTGGTTACGTTACCTTGATTGATAAACCCGATAAACAAAAAAAACAACCTCACCAAAACGGGCTCTTAGTACTGCATAAAAACCCTCATTTACAATTTTTCGTATTCAACATTTCAACCCCAAATCAAGCTCAATGTGAGCATTTAGAGGAACAATACAGGTAGACTAAACTATAAATCATTCACCGTCACATTTCATATTTTGGCAATGATTCCATACAAAAAAAGGTCTCATGATTTCGCTAATCTCTGCACATATCGACGGGAACACGACCCGAACCCATCATCACCGACAAATTGTTACGAAGCCATTTTCTACTGTCTTTTACAGTAGCTCGGCAAAACATTTCATTCTTGATTTCTTGATTACCTAGAAAGTTACAGATTTTGCTAAAGGTAGATTCATAATATACTTCGTACCCATTAAAAATTTATATCATAGAGTAATTTTAAGAAGTAAAATAAAAAGGAAATAACCAGGCAGCGCAATTCTTCAATTATCTGCCATTGACGGTCTTGACGAAGACGAAGACGATTCAGACTTGGAGTTGGAGCAGAATCTGTATTCCTTCTCTTCGAGTTTTCCTACCCCAAAATGCCCCAAATGTTCCAACGAATTTATCATATTGTTCCTGCAAAGGAACCTTTCACTGCTCACTCTCTCCACCTCTCTGTAGATCTCGTGAACAAACACCTGTGTCTTGGCGGTGCCGCCGCGCTTGCTCCTGGCTAATACGCCGGCGGTGAATATCGCCGACATTCTCCCCGGCGAAGACGGTAAATACCCACGCGGCCCATCCACCAGGATAATGTCCCAAGCGACGTCGTATATGTGGTTCGGGAGATCATTGATGGCCAATTTGCAGTCGGAGAAGAGCAGATTCTGTACGGCCCGGCAATCCTTATTCGCCTCTTCCTCCGCGTGCTTCAACAGATTCTGGAATTCACTGACTTTGGTAGTGAACTGAACATCGTAGGCCTCGATTCCGGGATGTTTCTCCTCGAATTTCGACACCATGTACGCGCTCTCGTCGACGACCACCGTCCGCCCGCCGTGGTTTAGCGAATGCCACAGTATGGTCTCATGGGTCAACCCGAAAACCAGAAAATTGCAAGAATTTCCGCACCGCCGGAGAGCTGCCGCGACGGCGCCCACCTCCGCGGGTGACATTCGGGAAGCCACCGACGTGGTATTCATGGTGGCGTAGTGCAGAAGCGCGTCGATCACTGGTTGGGGCAGCTGAGACCTCGATGCCACCGACGAGTCGGTACCGGCTCCAGGAACTGCATCTCTGCCGGAAAACAGAGTGAGTGCAAAGGCGAAACCGAAGAATGCGACGAAAACGAGAACAAGGATGCGGTGAGAAGCGGAAGGCAGAACAGAGAGGCCCTGTTTTTGAAGTGATGGGTGGAGAACGATGAGCTTTGTGCCGGTCTTCATCGCCCGATTAGGAGATGGATGGGAAACGAATCGGGTCGCAGTATTTTTGCTCAGATTTCGATCTGTCTCCTTCCTTTTTTTTTCTCGCGTTTAAAATTTAAACAGAAATAAGCAACGGCTGATCTGGAGAGATGAATCGGAGAATATGGAAAGGCAGATGAAATGGTAGATAAGGTCCCTAGGGTGGGACCACCTCTCGCTGGTCTGAGCTACCAAAATTATTGTGGTTGGAATTTTTGAAGTTAGATTCCTCTTATTTTGATTTTTTTATGGAGGATAAAACATGTTCTACGGAGTAATACTCCGTATTTTAGACCGGTTTTCACTATTCACTGTGAGTCGAGGATAACGGTTTTGATTGGTTTGATCCTATCTACCAAGACAAAATAAAAAAAGTGGATAATTATAAATATTCAAAGTTATTAAAAGTTATTAAAAGTTATGATTGTATTTGTAAATATTCAAAGTTATTGGGATGTATTTATAAATATTAAAAATACAATTTATTTTTGAAAAAATATACATGTATTATCTTGTGACGTCTAGACTACCCATTAATGTTATTGAATCATTTTACATTAACAAATTACTTAGATACAAATTAATAAAATTATAAAATTATTAATTTTTTCATAAATATATTAGGTAAAATAATTGGTCAAAGTTTACAATCTCTCATTAAAAATGTCGAAGATGACTAAGTAAATTGGGACGGAGGTGGTAGCATGCAACAAGAACATCCTCGAGCAGCCCAAATCGTTTCCACAGGATCATCCCGACATCAAGATGAGCACCTCGTATTGTAGCTGGCCTGTCGATCTGAAGACCAAAGGAACACAATTTCATCAGCGGACAACTTCCTCTGGATTCACCCGCATGGGCCGCATGGGCCGCATGCCCGCATGAGGACGAGGCACCATCCACCCTAAAATAAGTCTATAAAATTGTATATTTATTATATATTATTTCAATTAGATGCATTTTTATTCACCTCTAAAATCTATAAAAGTATCACATATAATACTTCTCACTTTCTATTTTGCAATGTCCCAAAAACTTATTTTCATATCTTATTTCAGAAAGTTTTATGTAACTAATATTTATTTACATTTTTCTTACTCACATCCATTTTCACTTTATTCCTACTGTTGAGGTTTAATCTCGTAGATCCGAAAGCCCAACACAGACTTTGGATATATCAGGAAATGGATAATAATTCGGTATGTAAAAGAAATATAAAAGATCGATAATCGAATGCTCAAAAGCCCACTTGTATTAATTGACATGTTTGATTACAAGGAAATTACCCAAACGATACGTCGGATTGATGCTTAATACAAGAAACAAGAGTAATAAGGTTATTCTAGGGCTTGAGTATTAAAATGTTAACCCTTATGATGATATTAAATCTTCTATTTATACTAATGGAGAGTATGGGACGCTTTATGGTGATTGACCGTTGTTCCACCGACTTGATCATCCATGCCTCCACTTGCTGATGTCACAATCTGGCATTAATTGCACCTGGCCACCTGCTGGTTGTCCGTTGCCCGAACGGGATAATGGGCCCTGTGTAAAACATTGTTGATTTGGCCCAAGTATGATGTATGACTCGAACCCCGTTTGGTATGTCTGTTTTCTGGGCCAGCCTTTACTTGGCTCGAACCTCGTTCGGTATGAATATCTCACTGGGCCTACTTATCATAGGGTAGTGGGCTCGTTGTTTGGGCTGGATATCCTGGGCCTTTAATCCGGGTATTGGGCTTCCGGGCCAATATCCCAACACGAGTCCCCCACTTCCGATGTCTCGAATAACAGTGAGTGCATTAGGAAGTACAAGTGCCATGATATAAATGCCGAATGGCGATTGGGGTACAGAAGTGGTCAGTTCCCCATACTGTGATTTGACGGCTGTCATTTGAGTTTTCCCATATTCATCATGATTGTTGATCTTTGCTCTTCCATGTGACGCGTGTTATTTTAAATAGTTCCAGTGACGTGTCTCTATTTGACTGGTCTTTGATACGACATTTGTAACGCTATAAATTAGCATTTAGCTCCTCAAATCCGGGTTTCGAATTTTCAATCTCTTTGTGCTTTAGTTCTGCCTTTTCTCTCAACCCCTTCAAGCTTTTCGTGTCCAGGTACTTCTCATCCCTTTAAATTTCTCTTTTCTTTGATACGATCGTTATGAGTTCTCAACTGTGTTCCGATTCGGAAATGGCTTCTCATGGGGAAGACATTGATGTGGAGATTATCACCGTCCTTTTCGGTGAGGGCTCCAATGCGGCGACGGTGGAGATTAGGGCGGAGATGGAGGATTCCTTCGACAGTTCTTCTTCCTCCAGTGAAGATTCCGATGACACCAAGTCTGATGATGAACTGGCTTCCATGGCGACCGCACGTCCCAACGATTTCCCTCGTCACACGCTTGACCTAAGACTGATTAGGGAGAGGCGGCAAAAACTGACTTCTCACAGCAGGGCCGAAACTCCGGCCCTAATCCCAGACCCAGTGGACTTCCGATTGCGAGATGGGCTTCACCCAATGCGCCATACCTCTGGGATGGTTGTAGTCCACTTCGATTCAGTTAGGGCCGGGCTTAGGTTTCCATTGCATTCCTTCTTGGTTTCATTTTTTAATTTCTACGAAATTGTACCGGCCCAAGTCATGCCGAACTCCTATCAGGCAATGGCGGGCTTTATTTGCCGTTGTAAAGATGCCGGAGCCCCGCCGACCCTAGACTTATTTCACCAATTTTTTAAAGTGCCCGAACGGGACATATCATGATTAAGGGCAATCCGACTTCAATCAAGGGGTGGAAAGATCGGTTCTTCTTTGTGTCTGTCCTGGACGGCCTGATCCCTCGCAAATGGCATGCATTCCCTCGCAAATCTCCCGATCCAGTCCTTACTGAGGAAATTTACAAGGATGTGCTCGTTGTGGAGAAGGACAAATGTTGTGATATCATGAGTCACTTGACTCCCGATCGGCTTATCGAAGTCGGGGATAGGTACTGCCCGTTCTCTTGGGTTTACTTGTTTTGAGAATCAAGTGTCATGGTCCGGGTGGTCCTTCCCGTGCGAGAAATGTTCTCTTCTTTTTTGTTTCCCACGTGATAAGGCCGCTCGGTACTAACATTTTCCATTGTTATTTTTTTAGCTCCCAATCCAGACGCACCAATGGACAAAAGCCGTGTTTTGGCAGCCGGTGGGGTCGGGAAACGAAAGAAAGCTAGGAAGAACCTTCAACCCACTCCTTCCACTATCATCACTCAAGATGCCGGGTCTTCTCAACCCGTTCAGGATCCACAGCCGCTTCAACAGGTCCTTCATCAGGATCAATTTGACGTCATGCTGGTCGACGATCGGTTTGGATCCGATCAGCTGCATCAATTCCCTGAGCATTTCCAGGTTGCTCAGGAGACTGGCCAGGGTACGGGTGATATGCATACCGTCCATCTATCTGGCCAGGTCAACCGGATCTCATTGGCAGATCCGGTTCACGAAGTTGTACAAAAGGGTGGATGCTCGGCAAGTCAGATCTGGTCTACCTCCGCATTTTTCAACAACTTCACTGTTCCCAAGCTTCCGGTCGAGCAGTCTGAGGAATGCTTGGCCTTAGCGGCCCTGAAGGTACTTTACTTTTCACTATTGCAATAACTTGTTATATATGTTAATCTTTGCTCTCAAACTTCATTACCTTATTTCTCGAACGACATTCTGTAGGTTGGGCTCTACAGCCTGCAACTGAGGGATGCCCGGCTGGCCAAAGAGCGGGAGCTGATTGTTGCCCAGACTTCTGTTGAACAGAATGCTGCTGTTGCCCTTGCAAAGTTGGAGGCCGAACGGAAATCCTTTGCCGAGGAGAGGTAGAAGTTTGAGAACGAAATGGGGGGGGGGGCTTCGGGTTCAGCTGGCCACTGCCCAGGCTAAAGTTTCTGCAGCTGAAGCCGTCCAGGTCAAGTTTGTAGAGACGGTCCCCCGCATCCCTGACGGTCCGACTGAAATTGATGTGGATTTGTCTGCCGTTCGGGAAACGTTTAAATCTTCTGAGGAGTTTGCTGCCCTAAAACGGGAATATGCACAGCAGGAGCTCCCGTTTACTTTTGGCGCCTTTCTCAACCAATTCCCCAAGAGTGGCGCTCGGCGTACAGAAGGGGTAAAGCTGCTCGATCGGGATCCAAGGGGTAAGAAATTCAATGATTCCCTGGCTCGATCGCTCTATGTCATGGGGCTGCCAGCATGTCTTGATCCCCTTCATGGCCAAGCTCCAAGAAACGCTTGGAAGGCCGGTCGAGCTTGCTGATCTTCCCTTGATTCCGATCGTTGAAGCCCAATTCGAGAAGTATCAGCGAGACCTACAATGGGCTGCCGATCGAGAAGCAGGGAAAGATCCTGAACCTCCTACTGATTCAGATGATGATGACGATGATTAAAAGGAAGGGGATAAAGAGGCTGCTGATCAATAGATTAGATTTTTAGTAACTTGTAATATTTTTCCCCTTATCCTTTTTTGCTCATCACCCCTGTACTTTCCGGCCAGTAGAGCCGATGAATATATATGGGATCTCTTTTGGTCAAAACTTTGCTTTATCATTTTTCCTGCTTTTATTGATTATCATTCGGGAATCAGTCCGTTTTATAGAACTTAGCAGTATTCCTTTGATCATCCTTCGTATCACCATCCGGGCTTCAGAAAGTTTTGTTGGACTTAGTCGTTGTTTGAATTCTTGTTTCTGATATCCCATCTATCCCACATAACTGTTAATAGGAACCCTGTTCGGTTTATCTTGATGCCCCTATCTTTTGACTCGTCCGAATCCCGAATTTTCCCCATCCCGCCGATCTCTATATGTTGTTCTTCAAATACTACCTGTTCGGTGTCTCTAAAGATACTTGTTTCAAACTTATGGCTTACGTCGACCTTGGTCTGGGCTGCCTCCCATACGTTCATTGTTCAATCCTTTTAGGATGGCTTCCCCAAAACCGTTGATCCGTTTTTCATGAATTGCCCATTAACCGTTCGGGGAACGTGCTAAATTACCATAAATGTACCATAATTTCGTACAACCACATTTCACCACGGGTTCTCCATGTGTTAGGGTTTTGGGCGGCATCTTTGTTTATAAATAGAGGTGCTTCTTCTTAATTTCTTATGTTGCTTCCTTAATCTTTTCTTGCGTCTTTCTAAG